CATTAATATTAATATTAATAATGGTACTACTAATAATAATAACAATAATAGCAATAATAACAGTAATAACAATAACAATAATAATAATAATAATAATAATAATAATAATAATAATATAATAATAATAATAATAATAATAATAATAATAATAATATAATAATAATAATAATAATAATAATAATAATAATAATAAGAAGACGATATGTGGCGATTATACCAGAGGGTATAAAATACTTTAGTGAACGATTTACTGACATCTGCTTCACGTTTGTTTGTATTTGCATTTTATCAGACGAATAAACAGATGATAAACTTGTTTATCAATTTGTCTGAGAGCTAATTGGTGCACGGATAAAACAGTTAAAAGAATAAATAAGGAATGAAAAAACTGTAAAATAAAATTAGAAAAATAAAAAAACAAAATATTTAATTTAATACAACTTTAGAAAAAAGGCAAAAAAAAATTTTTTTTTTTATTGTATGAGTTTTCATATGTCAACCGAACACTTAATGACTGATGGCAACACAGATCGGCAATAGTGATTGTAAAAATAGATATTTTAGAAACACTCAACTTTTATTTAATCTTTTTTTTTTTAGTTCTGTTCACTTTTTTTTTATAACTACTCAACTGTCCTCCTTCCAGTTACTTCCACCAATATAAATACACCACAACACCAAGAAATATGCTCTTTTGTCAAATGCACGACGAACTGCACAACCAACGAACAGTATCAAGTTCAAACCCATCTTCTTAAATACGCTTGAAAAAGAAAAAAAGAAAAAAAAACACCAACAAGTACAACAATTATCATAGCTCAACGACTCACCTTTTCTTCGCTAGTTCTCCATTATAAAAACTGAAGAAATAAAAGTCCTTTTCTTCAATTCTTTTTACACAAAATCAGTAATGAACTAAAAAACTGGAAGGCACCTACAACCAAATTAGTCTTGCACTAGCACTTTCCAGATGGTTAAATAATCACTGCTTCTTTCGGCTTTTATCCCTTTCCACTTCTCTTCAATTATATCAACTTTTCTTAGACGCTAAGCCTAATATATTACTTGGCCTGATCATATTTACAGCCGCTTATAATATCAACAATCCAAGAACATCAACAGGAAAACATTCAAAAAACACTTAGGGACTCTTTGTGTGAAAATTCTTCTGCAACAAACTCCAACACAACATCAATCATCATCAACGATATGGAGAAACTAAATAAAAATAATCATTTAATCCTTCAGACATCGTCATTACTGGAAGCCTTAACAACAAGCAATGTTTTTGAGAACAAAATCAAAATAAAAATAAAAAGAAGACTGAGGCCAAAAAGTCATCAACACATCGATGTGCAGTTACCTTTATTCAACTTGTTTATTTCGCAGACACATCACACCACAGTCTTGCGTAAACTTTTAATTCCTCTTAAGAGATATTAACGACAATAATGAAACAAGTAAACACCTAACCAGAAACAAAAAGGACGTGCTTTTTATAATAACAATGCCATCAATTAATCTGAGAAATGTTACTAATATTCCCAATGATTCACCGAATTAGTATCAATAGGTGTAACACAATCGCTCCGTAGTGCCCATAGTTATTTTCATATTTTCCTTTGTTGACGTCCACTAAGGCAATAATAACAACCAAATTATAACATAAACAACAACAATAATTGTGACTTCAATTCAAGCAACTCTCTCGTCCTGACTTCATAAAATAAACAAAAATAATAAAAAGAATTCCTTCAGTGAAGTCGCTTAATTCTGTTCGCTTTTTTTATCACGCTATATTCAATTTGCGACCGAGAAAATCTTGAAGGATAGATCGTCTTCGTATTCTTCCAATCATCTAGGTACAAATAATGAACCCTCAAACAACCGGCTTGCTAATTAACCAATCCTACGACAGTGCAAACAAGTAACACTTTTTGATATTTTGACGGCGGAAAAGAAAAACGCGAATGCTCCAAAAGTTCCATTTTTTGCAACTCAAATACGTTGCCCAAATCCATGAAAACAATTATGAAAACAGCGAAGCAACAGCAAGAGCCCAAGCATCACTCTTAACAGTAGAACCAAGTTAAACTAAACTTTCTTTTTATCAGATGTTTAATTAGATGTCTATATCATCTTCGAATAAACAAATGAAAAATCCCCAAACAAAAAACTGTTTTTTTTTTTTTTGGATCTCAATGATGAGACATTGTTGACCGCCCAGTGAAACGGCACGATAAATCACACCTGCCAAGTTATAAAGATACAAACTTTTAAATAAATACACTTTTTTCTTGCTATTTAAAAATTCCTATTCGCAAAAACTTTAAAGAATGCCGAATAAAGAAGACAGAAATAAACTTGAAAAACAACGAAGTGCAGAGATGAGGAAATGAAAACAAATGCACAACAAAAATCCTATCACTGAAGACAGTGAACAAATTATCCCCAATATTTCCACTACAGTTTGATGGAATATTTGCAGTAAAAAACCACCACACAATCAACCAATAACCTAAAATCGAAAAAAATTTCTTTTTTACTAAACTTTATTCACACCGTGTATTAAAGATACAGACTTTTGCGACTGGAAAATTCTTAAAAATGTAAATCAAAAAAAAAAAAGAACAAAAAACAAAAAAATAAAACAAAAAAGAGATCGCAAGGCATGGTGGATCAAAGCGGACTGTATATGGAAAAAATCTTCATAGTAATAAAATGAATAGAAAACAAAAAAGGAAACTATACATTTTACCCAAAAATGACGACGATGATGACGATTATACAACATTCCTTTTTTTATGCATGCCGCATAAACTGTAATGGCGAACAGCAAGACAACTAAATTATTAAAATCATACATCAACAGAAAAAGCAAGGAAGAAAGATGAAAAAAAAAAGTTAGCTAAAACTCACAAACAACACAACAAAGTGTGAGATTTCGAGCCTTACAAAAAGCCGATATAAAAACGTGTTAACAATAAAATAATGAAAAAATTTTTTTCTTCCAGTTTTTATACGTGTGACAGACTTCGTAAAAAAAGAATATCAAATTTAAATAAACGTAACAGTATAATTCTGGATCTACTAGGAAGCGGTATTCGTCATTACTGCTATGAACAGGTTAGTTGTTTATCAACTTAAGCTAATGAAAAGGAATTCGGCTGCTACAAGCAAGTAGTTCCCCAATAAACCGAAAATTCCAAAAAAAAATTTAGAAACCAGAAAGATGCCATTCGAGAAAACTGTAACAAACGCCACCTACTACAATTCATTGTAAACGCACTAGAAAACAAGATTAACAGGTAATGCACATCGATCGAGTTCCAAAAGCCAAGATGGTGAGAAACAGTTCCGAAGCTAGTATTTACCGTAAAAGAACCTTATTGTTCTCAAAAAATTTCTCCTTTAAGTAGAACTCTTTTTCAGATGACTCATTCAAAAGGTTAAAAACAGGCAAGCATCAACGAATCAACAGTGAAGTAATCCATTATACGGAAATGGTGCAGAAATTAAAAACGAACAAAATATTATCGAGGTCGCATTTTAATAGCAGGAGTTGTAAAAAATTTACTTAGTCAGTCACTTGACTCACTACTTTCTTCGCCGTCGTTGCTATCGGTCTTTTCGGAATTTTTTAATGCCCTTTTTTCACCGCCATCTTTGTTAGTCTTACTTTCAGTAGCTGCGTTGTCGCCATTCCTTTCAGCTGCTTTCCTAGCTTCTTCTTCTGCCGCAAACTTTTCCAGAGCAAGACGCTCGTCTTCATACAACTCTCTAGGCAGCTTCATTTGATTTTTCAATTCTTTCATCATGCCGAAAGCTAAAAAGCGCCGTTTCTTAAAGATTTTGAAAAGTTTGTCGTCCGCGAGAACATATCTTTTATCCTGCAAAAAAAAAAAAATGAGATGCTACTGAACTTACCATAACAAATTACTGCTGACAAAAACAATACTTTATGACAGGATCTTTCGCAAAACCTCTTAAAAAATTATTCACAATACTTTAGGATCCATAAGATTATTGTTCTTAAAATAACTCCACATTGCCTTCACAACATCATATCGAGCAGAATACGGTTTTCCAACCATATCAGCAAGCTCTTCCGACAATGCACAGTACTCGGTAAACGCACTCTGTAAAATAACAATAAACCAAGAGAAAAAAATAAACTAATATTACTTACAAGAAAACCAAATTAAATTCTCAGCTCACTACCTTTCGCCTTTTTTTTGTGCCGTCGGATTCTGATGATACTTTCTTCTTCCTGGCACTGCTCTTTTTTGGTGCAGGAGCTGCTTTACGTCGTCTCTGACCAACTTCAAGCAGTTCAGAGTCAGATTCATTCCCAGCACACTTCTTTCGTTTTTTTCCATGCTTCAAAAAGCAATCGAGCATACTCGCAACATACCAATTTCTGCACACAAAAACTAATAGAAATTTTAAATCTGCTTCAGGTTTACCTTCTTTACTACGACGTCAGCATCTACAACTTCCTCACCAGAATCAGAATCTGAAGTAGAATTTTTCTTTTCTTCTTCCGCAGAACTAACGCAATTTTGAAGTACCTAATAAGCAAATATAAATAAACTGCAAAGTTGTAAGGCCCAAATAGCATCAAAACTATTTAGAAGTCCAGCCCAAAAATACCAATCTGCAGGTATCTTTAACAAAAACCTTAAAAAGTAGAATCCTTTTGAAATTACTTAAAATTTTTCGAGACACTTTCCAAAAAATACAATTTGATGCTTAAAATCGACAGCAGAACTGAAAAACTCACTTCCATTGTCACTCTATTTACTGTTGCCTTATAATCAGAGAAATCAATATTGAACTCTTCTTTTAAATTCTCCCGTATTTTACGGTTCGTCAACTGTTCCATCCCTAGAAAATACTCTTCCCAACACTTTACTTCCTACAATTCTATACCATCACCTGAAGGAAATAAAAAGTAGAAAGTGCATTTAAACAGAACAATGCAAATAAACCTCACCATATTTCTTGATTTGTTGTTCGATAGCCTTACGGAGACGACTCTCCGAAATCGGCAAACCAGCATCTGTTGACATCCTGAAAAGTCTAGTTAAACGAAGTGTGAGGAATTAAAAAGTGGAACAACATTGGCGCCACGTCAAAAGACGAAATTCTTCTTGTACAATCATGTTTAGTACCAACACTACTATTGAGCATAAAAACAAAAGAATTTACTTAGAAAACTTATAGCTGCTAAAACAGTGTGTATAAAACCACGACATATGATATACTCTTTGTTATTTCTGAAATTCAATGTCCATAATAAAAACTGTTACAACCGTCTCAGTCCTCTTTCTTCAAAATTACCACAATGACCAAAAACGATGTAAAAAAAATCATTGTTAAAATCATGTCACAAATACCAGAATTATGTTCACAAATCTTTAAATAAGAAAATAAACGTTCTGCGAATAAAAAAATAAACAGTAGCCTCAAAACTGCGCCGACCTTCAAAGCCAATCAGGCAAAAGACTACCAATGTACTTTTAGCTAACGAAGGCTTGGATCATTTAAACTCTGTAACTACAATAAAAAATTGAAATACGCTACTTTTTCAAGAAAACAACAAAAATAAATCAAATCGAAGAGCTCATACGATGAGAAAATAATACTGAAGCCGAAATCACAAGTGAAAAAACCGTCATTACCACTTGCAACAATTTGCTGCAGTACTTTAAAAGAATTTTAATGTTAGACAAATCTGTAAAAACTAGACCCCGAATTAAGATTTTGCAAGTTTGTCAAATGTATGTCACAACCAAACGGTCACCATTAAAATTTTCCACCAACTTATAACCTGACACTTTCCTAGCTCATTCTGCAGAAGAAAGTAATTCACAACCTACACCATACTTTCAAACTTTTTCAGAGCTCCCTCTGAACGACCAGAACTACTCAGTCAGAAGAATTATAACAAAATATCCCAAAGTGAAATAAAGCAAGTATCAAAGTCATTAGCTTCTGCATTAAAACTATCAGTAAACGACTAAAAGTACGGCTGCCAAGAAGTTTCAAAACGGTAAAAAATATCGCATGCTTTCGTATCACCAGGCCAATATGCCAAAAGATTTGAGCAAACAAATGAACGTTAGATCAAACCACTTTCCTCATCTTCGAAAACAATAATGTGATAATGCTATTTTAAGAATAAATTTTCTTACAGCAGATAAAGTCGCAGCAATGATGGCCTTCCAATATCCTGACTACTTTATCGACCAAGAAAAATTCTAAAAGAATATTAATTACAGTTGTGGCTACCGTAATGGCTAATAAACTAGCTGGAAAAAACTAACTAGCTGAAAAAAGTAATAAGAAGTGTTGAAAATAAATAACCTTCTTTACAAACACGGTGTATAATCACTAGACAAAGTACAGCATCTCAAGGGAACAAAGCACACTGTTACAGTCACCTCAAAAATTTACCTTGTTGAGCACGAATGAAAATCAGCAGTTTCAATGTTAGAAAAAAAAAAAATACGCTAAAAGCAGACAGAAGTGCAGCGCGATTTGTACTGACAATGATAAAAGTGTCGCCATTAAAAATGTTGCTACATCTTTAAAAATTGCCAGAGAAAAAATGATAGAAGAAATTAAACAAAGTTGAACATACATCGAAAAAAGCAGCGAAAGTAGAGCATTGTAAGGAACTTACACAACTGGATAGCACTTTAAAATGCGGAAAGGAGAACTTTAACAGAATGACCGAGATGAATATAGCAAGAAATTTTTTTTCTAACAGTCAACTGGATTAAAATATCCCAGTAGTTAATTAGTAAACATGACAGATAAATCACTCATAGACAGTGGATTACTAACTTTAATGTAGAAGAACAATTAACAGAAGAAAAAGTCAACTAGGAAAGGAAAATATCTAAAGAAACAAATGTATTGTTGGGAAGCTGTATAGTTACGATATCCAAAAAATTTTTGATTACTATGCAGGCTACACAATCTGAAACCGACACGACGCGATTTGACTGTGTCACACCAGAGAATGACCTGCAAATATTGAACTATTGAAAAAACAATTCACTCACCCATCATTGCTTTATCGATGACCACACCAACGTTTCAATAAAACTCACTTATTTCGCCTTTCCGCTCTTCAGAACCAAAAAAAAGTAATAGAATAAATTATAGATAAATAGAACCAATCCTTCGCTCAAATAAACGAATTTGTGCTACTTCATTAAGCAACAGCCTCTAAATCTCGAAATACGGACGAAGTATTTTCTTCCCAAAAGAAAAACAAAGTTCGAATAACAAGTTTACTTTTCACCAGCTCGTTTTTTACTCGAACAACCCTTCAAACGACGGTAATAATTTGTGCTCATGAACTGTTTATTTTTAAAGATACGTTTTGATTTTACAGACAAAAAGAACCGAATTTTGTTCCCTCTATCATAAACCACATTTTGTGTCAAACAATCTTCGCGTTTTTGAAACCATGTATTCTTCTGATCTTCAAAAAATGGAAAAACGTAAATACGTGATATACAGTTTGCAAACAAAAAAGAATAAAAGGTAAAACTAAGAAAAAAATTTTGCACAAAATTAGATAGCACACCGCCAGTTAAAGAAGGATTTACAAGATTATATTTCATAAAAAAAAGGAGTACAATGGCGGAAAGAATGAACATTATTGCACTTTATGTTTCTTAACCTTCATGAGTGGATAATGAAAATCAAAAAGACTTCGCAAGAGTAACCAAAAGAACCTTTACAATGTTACTAGCACCAACAATTCATAATTGAAAGAAAATATGTGATTACTTAACAGTCTAAGTTGATTCGACAGATGACCTGCGAAACCCATTATTCTATCTCTTTAGCTCAATCCAGCACAAGTCCTATGAAAAAAGTAACAAACAAACAACGGAAATGATAGAAAAATTTTTTTTCTCAGAAAACATTTACGGTTGTTTTTAACTTACGTCTGTTCACCAGTTCTTAGTGCCAATTTTCAGACAACGAAAAAAAAGGAACAAAAAACCTGACTCCGTTAAGTCTGCAACTGATTTACGCTAGCAAAATGAAAAAAACTCGAAAGGATTTGTACATATACATGTACAAAAAAAGAATTACAAAATTAAATCTGCAAAAGATTTTTTTAACATCAAAAACTGCGTCCTTAGCCTATTCGCATTAATAAAATTATTCTTGTAACTGCAAACTCTTTTTTACTAAAATTATCAACAATAAAACATTAATGCAACTTTTTCGTTTTACAACATAACGGGCTAGCGGCAGTCGCCAAAAAACGATGTTTGGTGCAAAAATTTGGTGTTTTAAATGGAGAATAAGAATTCGAAAGTATAATATTCTTGTAACCGACTAAAAAGACCAATTTAACAACAATTTTTATTCAGATATAAAAAAAGATGAAAGCTTTCGAAAAAACACAAAAAAAAACATGGAGAAAAAATTGTGGGGACGAGAAGACTCGGGTAAGAGGAGACAGGCAAAAAACTCTGTTGGTGGCGGCACGCATCAAATTCTAAAACCTTTATAAATTGCTGAGTCTTAAAGCGCTCAGGGTAACTATCTTTGCAAATGGAATTATGCCAATTATTTTATATTATCATGTACATTTTCTTGTGCTATACAAACAAAAAAGTACAGGATTGAGACGCGTTTCGCGAAACGTTTAATTTTTGAATGCGACTGTGAACAGTTAGTCTACGTGAACGGCGAGCTCGTCAGATCTTTTGGGGAATATGGGTTTTGAATATTTCCACCAGTAAAGCCACGTATATACAGGCTTAAGTTAAACTCTAGGTTGGCGGTGAAGTGCATTGTTTGTTATTTCCACAGGAATGCATGATAATGGAAATTTTTGGGCACATTACAGCGCTGCGCAAGCATGGATGAAACTTCATCGTTTAGCTGTTCAGGAAGCATATGAAGAAGCTGAAAGGCTGCATCGGGCAGTCTGCACCAAGGTTAGTTTTTGAATTTTATCTGTTTTGTTGCGTTCACTTCCTCTATTGAATGCAGGCCCAACCTAGCGTTGACGGATTCTGTTTCTGACCATAAATTTGTGCTGTAGGTTATGATTTTAGGGATGCGCTTCAGTGGATGTTGCTCACCATAGTCAACGGAGGAGGAATGGAGTTACCAAAAGAAAAGCAGGAAAAGCAGTGGGTGAACTGGAGAATGTCAGCATTCTGGAGGCCGAGTGTAGCAGTGTAGACAATTCAGTAAGCGATACAACAGTTCACGGAGTGAATGAAGAGTCGGAAATGGACGAAGATATGATAGCATTTTTTAAGCAAACATTAGAGCACCGAAGGCAAAGTAATTTTTTTCGTTTTAGGCGTATGCTTCCCAAACTGAGGCCCCACATTTTCGAACGGTATTTTAGCTAATTCAGTTCTTTTTTCAGTTTCGATTGGGAAACCTAAAGTTGTTAATGTTTTATTGATGTCGTTAACATTCATCCTCAAATGTACAACTTATCATTACCTAATAGAGAGTGTTGTAAAGCTTTTTATTCATTGTCAAATAATATTTCTAATATTCTTAGGGGATGCTAAGCGTTCGAAAGAGAAAGAGGAGAATGACCATGGAACGCACTGGGCGTTTGACGATAATAACGATTATATTTTGGCTGAAGAAAGTGAGTCTTTCTTTCAATTTCAGTAGATGTTAAACGTTTACGTATGAAAACATCACTGTTTGCCTTGGTGGTGTTTTAATTTTATTATTAAATAAGTTTGCCTTTTAGTTGGGGTTTGTGGGATTTCTCGCCATTCTGTTGGGGTCCCAAACGTGGCAAACGAGTTTGAAATGAGGGAAAAGGAAATGATTGAACTTTATGACAAGGAGAATGAAAAGATTGCTGCAATGGAAACATCACTCGATATTCGTTTTGAGCAATATTTTGATAAATATAAACCACAGCTTTGGCCTTCGATACCCTTGAGATTGTAGCTGCTCATTACAGTGGAAAGTTTTGCGAAAGCTGAGTCGTGATTAGATCAAGATTTCCTTGGTTATGTTAAAGACCTTTTTTACGGTGTGTTAAAGCTGCGAAATTGCAATATTTGTAGATAGTTTTCTGCTTTGAAATTTAGTGCAATTGTTTCTTTAATATTTTGCTGGTGTTGTATGGCTGTGAGCATGTGAAATTTTTTGTTGTCTTTCAAGGGAAAGAAGAATTATTGAAAATAAGCAAGTGTTGGAAGGTTTTACCCGTTCAAACTTATTTTTGACGCCTTTTTTATTGTTGTTGTTTCTTATACTTCTAAGTCTGGCTTAAAACAATTTTGGACCTTTGTAACTCGCTTCTTGTTAGTCATGACCGCAGCCTTTGACCTAAAAAAGGTTAAAAAAGAAAAGAAGTTGTGGGATGAAGACGATGGAAAGTCCACCACAGTTACTGATAACTGTGAGAAAGTTGCCGTTAGCCGCAGTATAAAGAAGGAAGGAGAGTTTCAAAGGAAGCGTAGAAATAGAGCTTTTTTGACTCACATGAATTATGCTGAAGCAAAAAGGTGGGTGTGCAGTTCATTATTAAAAGTTCTGGAAGCCTCAAAGTTTCAAAATTATTAGTTTTAGATGTGGTTTTTCTTTAGATTACTTTTAGAGAACCCACACAGTGGTCTGAAGTTAATTGACCATAAACGACATATCACTATTGGATGGCACCAAGCTGGTAGAGTTAGAGTGGCACTTAAACAAATTTTTGAGAAATCGCTTAACCGGTTTCGTCACGAGTAAGAATAGTCTATAAAAAATTTTAGTAATAGAGGTTACTCAATTTATAAGACCGTTCAATTGAGAATATATGGTCCAAATTTTCAAGAGCATTCAAGAAGTTAACTTTGTTATCTTTGCAGCATTTCTAAACTACTCTACCAGTAAACAGTTACAATATAATTTTAATTTCGTTTCTAGATTGAAAGGTGTGCCGTTGGCTATTGGTCCAATCAAAGTACCTGAGAATGCTACAATTATTGGGACACACTCATCCATGCATTTAGATGTCGAAGTGCGTGTGGTTGTATTTCGACCGAAAATAGGAAAAGTTTACAAATGTACCGTCACTTCAGTCGAGGAGGTAGCGTGCGCAATGAAGCATCACTTTTACCACCAACTACCCGCTGTGCCTTCTTAAGAATAATTTTTAAAACAAACTATCCAAGAACTTTTTAACTGTTAACCAGGATTTAAGTCTGTTTGCACCTTGACTTGTCTTTAGGATTACCTGCTTGCAACGAAGTTCGGAGCAATCACGTTCGTCGCACCTCTAAATCTGGAATTTGCACCGACGATTGGAAATGAAGTACACATCAGACTTTCCGGAATTTCAGCAAGGGGGAAAATATGTCAAATGAAAGGCAGCTTGTGCAATGGTAAACGTCCCTTCTAGCTTGGAAGCATTTCGGTATCAATGTCTTAATAGTGCTATACTAGGATGAATGTCGAGAAAGATAGTTGCCAAATGAGCACATCTCCTAAACCTGGAAAGTTAGCCCTGACATCCGAAAAGACTCATACGCACCTTTTAATCTCCGAAACCGTATGGATAAATCTCGTTTAATTTTGAATTAAACCTTTGTTTTCACATTGCTTTAACCACAGAGTAGGTCAAGTCCCAATTCCAACAATAGTCCATAGGCACGTCATTCCAGTAAAAGTTACGGGATGCACGCATGAAAATTGAAAAAAAAGACAACTCATCAGCGAAAAGAACTCATATTTAACATCTTCTATAACACAAGCATTATATCTTCCTTTTTTTTTTCAAAATATTTTCAAAGCAAAATACGCACCGTTTGGCACCCATCTAATATAATAAATCAAATAACGGACATACAAATACAAATAAAAAACAGTTTTCACCATAATTTACAACAAGTGAGAACTATACGACCCGAACTGGCGTTCCAACCACAAGTAAGTTGTCAGGCATTAAGCAACAAAAGTTAGGCAGAAAGGTTTAAAAATTCTACTGAAAGCCTGTACCTCCCACTTGATCTAGCCCATCAAATGACGAATAGAAGAGAGCTTCTCTGGTGCAAATATTCACATTACTTCCTACTTAGACAAGACAGGACAAATCATTTTTAAAACTATTTCTCTGGAATCCATCAGTACAAAAACAAACCGAAAATAAAAAGCACATCAAAGTCCTCGATTAACAACTCAACAGTCAAAAACCAGAATGTGCAACAATTACCTTCTCCGCTTCGGGAAGAACAATGCACTATTTTACAGAAAAAATATTTAAAGAGGGAAGAGCGAATGCAGACATGCAGCGCGACAACTCATCTTGATCAAGAAAAAACGAAAAAAAAGAATTTGCAAACAACTCATAAGTCTCGAGAATCCTGAGCACCCAAGAGAAGTTAGGAAAGTAGAAGTATGAAATTACGGTTCCTACACCGTCTCGAAAGAGGAACTGTTATCACTTATATGTAATATGATAACAACAACGACAAAAACAGTATATATGTATATAAATACCATATATA